TTTGCATTTCCTCATTACACTGAGCTTAAGTTGGTCTTCCCCAGAGCATCTGCCCATCAGATCTGCCTGCCGGTGCCTCTAGAACGAGTCCTCTCTAGCAAAAGCAGCCCCTCACTGTAACCCCCCAGAAGTCTAAACTTCTCCAGACTGGACCACCCACCTCTTGAAGCCTTTGTCTGCATATCCACTAAAAGGGTTAATAATAGTGACTGTCACAGACCAGCAATTGGTGTAATGGCTATGCCACTGGACTCCCATATAGTCGATCGCAGTTCGAGTCCTGGACCCAGTGGCTTAAACTCACGCCAGGCATATGTGCGTGTGTGCCCAAGATCCCAAGAGGAGAATGAAGGAGAAGGAATTGTAGTGTGGCCATGCCCCGCCCCCGGGGGGGTGATTTCTCGCTTTCTGTCTCTCTGTTTCTCTCTGTCTTTCTAGCAAGTGCACATGCCCTATAGCAAAACTTCTAATTAAAAAAAATAATAATTATAGTGCCCGTTGGGCCAGCAGGCAACATGGAGGTTAAGGTGTTGGATACCACATGGCTGACCACGTGGTTCAAGTCTCAGGCCCAGCAGCTTAAAAATCATGCTGGGTGCATGTGCATGTATCCCCAAAATCCTAAGAGTTGACTGGAGAAGAAGGAACTGTGGCATAGCCATGTCCTCTGGGGAGTGGTTTCTCTCTCACTCTCTCCCCCATGGTAAGTGCCCTATAGCAAAAACTAAAATAATAATAATAATAATAGTAGTGTCTCCTGCTGCTGTTGTGAGGATTCAGTGAGCTCCTTAGTCAATAACAGCAACATCAGCTACGATAGCCATAACTAACATGGTTGAGCTCCTAGTTAATCCTGTTGCATGCATTATCTTTCTAAATGCTGGGAGGCGAACACAATTATTCTTCCCTTCGTGCAAATAAAGAACTAACAGCTGCCCAAGACCCCACAAGTAGAAAATGGCCCACAGGCATTTGAACCAGAATTTCTGACTCCTGGCTCCCAGCCTTTGCTCTGCCTGGCTCTCCGAATCACCTGCTCCAAAACCAAGCCCATGTCACCTCTCTGCAATGACCCTCTCCAGCTTCCCAGGGCACGGGGCTAGGTGGGAAATCTGGCAAAGCTTGAGCTCCTAGCATATGCAGTCTGGGGAGTGAATCCCTGGTCATGAGGGCAGCCACAAGGCCACCAGGCCAGCAGGGCCTTCCAGCCAGCCCATCTTATCTGATCTAAACTTTGGACACCATTCAGCATGGCCGCCAGGGAGGGGCCTGAGAATGTGAAACCTTAGCATTCACCTTGCCGGTTAAAAAGAGGGGAACAGAGGCATAACAAAGAGGAAACCCCATCAGCCTTCTGGCTGAGAGCAGCCACTCCCACACACCATGCAAATTGCCCTCTCTCTCCAGGTCTCAGTTTCCTCATCTGCACAAGCCTTCTCAGAGGCCATTAGGCAGAAAGGTCAGAAACTAATTTCAGGGATTCTTCCTGTCATCTCTAAAAAGGCAGCTTACCTCCTCCGGTAAACAATAATAACCACTGCTATCGTTGTCTTTCAATAGCGCGTACTTTCTGGGAGTTTCCTATTTGTTGGGCATTCATTTGGTAAAGCTCTATCAAAATCAGACAGTTACTATCTCCATTTTATAGCTGATGAAACTGATGCCCATAGAGATGTAGGTAATTTGCCCTAGATCACACAGCAAATCGTGGCAGAACTGGGATTTGAATCCAGGACTTTTGATTCCACTCTGCTGCCTACCTCCCCTGGAAATGGGCTCAATGCAGACCCTGCCTTTAGAGAGCCTCGAGGACAGGAGATGTGTCTTTAAGGAGTCCGAGATCAAAGCTAAGAGTGGAGCGACCCTGGGAGAGTCTGGACCACAGGTTCTGCACGAGTGACGGAGGGGCGGGCAATGCCAGCTCTGGAGAATTATGAATGACTGCAGAAGAGATGACATTGGAGCTGTGTGCTGGTGGGGCAAGGTTTCTGGGTGGGTGAGGGGCAGTGAGTGGGATGCAGCTCCCTCCTCATGGGCAGAGATGTAGACAGGAAGGGACAGGGACATACCTGGGGAGCAGAAGAGAGGTAGGTCTGTCTGAAGGTTGGAGGAATGGGAGCCGGAGTACTGTGGACACCAAGTGGGCCTCAAACAAATGCTCACTGCCAGGCAAATCTTTTCATTTTAAGGTTACTCCAGTCTATATCAAGAAATAAGGCAGGCAGGTCTGGAACACAAACTTTCCTCTTCTAGATAAAGAGTTTTGGTGGCACTCACTCTAAGACCACCAGGCCCAAGCTTTCTGCCCTAAGACTGTCACCTTTCCACAGAGCTCCAAACCTCTAAGGCCAAAGCTGATGGGCGAGCTTTGTGACAGTACCCCGGCAAGAGAAAGCATCTCGGCTTGTGACCCCAGAGATCATGAGACCCTCCTCTTATCTCTATTGTGGGGGAAGGAAGGGATCCCACCTCCACCCCACCCCCCACTTTCAAACCCACCAGCCTCTTCCCCAATCCCTCCTGACTTAGCCTGATTCATGATTCAGCCTGATTTCTTCAGTTGAGGAAAGAGACTGGTCTTGTTTCACAGATAGAGAAATACAAGCAGAAGGTTCAAGTTCTCTGTGACACCACAGTCCCCAACAGCCCAAACTCTGGTCATTGCTCCAGACACTCTAAGGGACCCGGAAGGGTAGCTTCCCGGCTGATTGTATTCCAGAGGACAAGGACTCTCCCAGGCAGAGCCCTGCCGACCAGGCTCGGGACTTCCAAGACATGCAGGAAAAGCAATTCCCAGAGCCATGAGAAAAACACAGGGTGGGAGTGCACTGAGCACCATCCATGTACCGAGATCCTCAAGCGAAAAAGAACTGAGCGCAGTCACCCAGGCCCAACCCTGCTGGTGCAGCCTCCTGCCCCTCTGCCCACTCTCCAGCTGCTTCGCATGCCTTCAGTGAGCAGCCCTCACCTCCTTCTCAGGCAGCTACTCCACGGCTGGCTTCCCTGAAGCTGCCACCTGAATGTTGTCTCTGCCCTCCAAAGCCCTCAGACCATGCCCTGCAGAGAGCCCCACAGGATGTGAAAGCAATGGCTGCCCCCAGTCTCAGAGCACCTGTGAGGAGCCCAGTCCCCAAGGTAGCCACGAGGGCCTGCAGCCTCCCTCTCCTGACCTTTGGTCTCTCTGCCTGAGTCAGACATCGATCAGACCTCTGCTGGACCATGACGAGGGTCACTTCTGGGCTGGCCTCACCCTGCCAGTCTTGCCACCGAGACGTTAGCCAAATGACCCCTGAGAGAAGCAACATCACAGAGCAGAAACAGTTCAGGCCTCGGTTCAACTCCCGGTTCTGTGAGTGACTCCAGCCCTCTAGGCCTCCATTTCCCCATTTGAAGATGGGATGGGGTGGGGGTTAGCACCACCCACAGCAGCAGCAGCTCCTCGGCAGGGTATTGTGAGATGTCAATGGGGTGGCTGTCGAGAGCCTGGCGTGGTGCCTGGCACAAGGCACAGTAACAGGCATCGACTCAACAAGCTACTTACACAGCCCTCTGCCCTCACAGAATATTCTGCCACAGTAAAACCCAAACTCCTGAGCAGGACACTGCAGGCTCCCCAGACCCATACTTGTCTCCCGCTGCCCCGCTTCCCACAGCCTGCATCCTCGACAACACTTCCTCCTCCAGGAAGCCTTGCTAACATTAACAACCAGAGGGCTTTTCCCCTCCACTGACCTTCCAAAGCCCATCTATCACGGATTGCATCCTGCCGTGCAGCTGTCCCTTGGAGCCCTTCTCCCCCCCCCATCAGCCCAGCAGCCTCCCCAGTCAGAATCCAGCAGCACCTCACCCCATTTTGTGTCCCCTGTCACCCTCAGCCACAGACATTTTCCATACATATTTAACAAATTACCCTAGCGTTCCATTTCAAGTAAAGAATGTCCAAACAGTCCACATATTTCAAGCCAGTAGAAATCTGCCCAGTCTCTTGAGACTCGCAGGCCTGGCTTTGCTCCCAAAGCATTGAAGCAGGGCCTGAAGCATGATCACGCAGGTCCGGGGCCCAGGGCAGAGACAGGCCTGCAGAGACCACAGACAGCCCAGAAACACAGGTTTCTCACCTGCAGTCTCCCAGAGGGCCCTTCAGCTAACCCTGAGTCTCTGATTTCTTATTCTTGACCACATCCTCAATCTGACACTGCAAAACCATTCCTTGTGCTTCCTGCATACCCCCTTGTGACAGGAGGTTCACTACCTATCTCCTCTTAATGGCTCCCTCCCATCACCTGTTGATTCTCCCAGAGACCACCCCTTCGCCCCCCACTGGGATCACAATGACAACAAGAGTCTGACTGCATGACGAGTGACAGCTCCGTCCCTCAGGACCCCCTCTCAGCTTTCTGGCTTTCCACTCAGTCTGCTTTTCAGGGTCTCCTCCACATCTATTTTAATTTCTGGGATTTTTTTCTTTTTTTTTTTTCTTTTTTTTTTTGGGGGGGGGAGGTTTTTTTGCTATAGGGTGCATGTGCTCACCAGAGAGACAGAGAAACAGAAAGTGAGAAATCACCCCTCAGAGGGATGGCCATGCCGCAATCCCTTCTCCTCCATTCTCCTCTCGGGATCTTGGGCACGCACGCACACGCACCCGGTCCTCCACATCTAGATAACAGGAGTTTCCACTCTTCTTCCGATAAGCTGACGATGAGCTGTCAACCCAGGAGAGCCCTTTATTTGAAAAGGCTACAAACCCTGCAAATCCTAGACAATGCCAGGACTGTCCTCTGAGCAGTTAGGGCCGAAATGCCCAAACTTTCCTCCCCCGAGAACTTCTTTCTTTACCTCACCCCACTCTTCCTTAGCCCTAGGTTTAAGATGTCATTTATTGGGGCCAGCAGGTGGCGTGGTGGTTGAGGGCGCTGCACTCCCACATGGCAGACTGTGGTTCAAGTCCCTGGACCTGGTGGCTTGCTTTTTCACTTTCTCTCTCTCTCTCTGTCCCTCTCTGGTCAAATAAAATAAAATAAATAACAAAAGATAAGTTTTAAAAAGAGATGCCGTTTATTACGTAGTAATTTGTTTGCCACTTCTAAAGTAATTACCCAAGGCCCCCAGTCAGAGCCTGCCTGATTACCATGAGATGTCACCCTCACCATGGGACAGCTCAGGACTGGAAAGTCACTGGAAGTCTGAGCCGCTGCACACCCAGCACTAGCCTCTCTCAGGAACCCATATACACATGGGTTTTCCACTAGGATGCTGCCGTCCTGACACTGGCTTAAATCCACAGACTCCACCACTCATTGCCAGCAATCCTCAAAGACCTTTGGGGCTGGGACATCCAGTATATCCACTCTTTTAACAACCAGGGCTCCACTGATGGACAAGGGCACACTTGGGATATAAGTCCGTGGCCCTTAGGCCTCTCATCTGCCCAGGGGCTCCACTCCTAGGCCCTCTCTCTGCCCCCTGCTCATCCAGTGACCTGGTCTAAGTGGAAATGAAAGGCTCTTGTAGTCCCCTGGGTGCTACTGGGGAGAGGCCTGTTGACAAAGCTACCAGCTGTCCCCAGTCGGAGCCAGGGAGACGGGCTCCTCCCTGCAACACCCACACCGGGAGAGCCTTCCTGCCACAGACCCAGCCAGCAGCAGAACTTGGACCACCTTGGAGCTCCAGGCCCAGGCTCCAGCAGCCTATACTAAGGGCCAGGCCACAAGACTGCAACCAGAACAAGTAACCTGCAGGAGGGGCACCACCTGGGGTAAGGGCACTGGGGAGCCAGCGGGCAGGTGTCCACATCGTTTCAGCTGAAAACGAAACCGTGAGCTCAGCCACACGGAGACCTTTAGAGACCTATAGCTGAGACAGGGTGGGGGTGTCAAATCCCAGCTCCACCACTTCCTACTGCTGTGTGACCTTTACCTTCTGGGCCTCAGTTTCCCCCTCTGCAATGTGTGGTTAGTAGCAATGTGAGAGATTAAGGGAGATCATCTATATAAAGCAATCCATCAGTCCAGGGCCCGGCACACAGTCCACATGCAACAAATTGTGGAACTTGTTGAATATAAGCCTGTCACCTTTTACTTAGGCACCTAGACCCGGTTCATCCTTACTCTAGAAGATACTCTATTTCTCCCCTTTGACAAGTGAGGAAACTGAGGCTAGACAAAGGTAAGAAACCAACTCAAGGTCACACAGCTGGGAAGTGACAAATCCCCAGGTCTGTCTGAATCTCACAGGGGTGGCAGTGCTGCCCAACCACTCCGAATGCTTTCCTGGGGTGGAGGGGGGCTCTGAATCTGGCACGCCGGGGTGCTCCAATCCAGGAACGAGCCAGGTGGCCGGCAGTCCTGATTCTGAGCCGGTCCCTGAGCCCACGCGTTCCACAGGCACCCCCCTCCTCATCCTGTCTCAGGGCGTTAAAGAGCAGTGTTAAAAGGGGAAGGGGGGGGGACGCTCTT